CCAAAGTACCTACTCTTATTTCTAAGACCATTCTTTAAAACTTTTTTTTTAAGTTTATTTCTCTCTCAACAGCATCTTTCCTATCCCATGGCTTTTCTAAATCAACATTCCTCATCTCAGAATTTTTATATGAATACCCACTGTGTGAACCTTCTATTAAACCCTAAAACATCTCTACAAATGCATTTCTCACAAATTGCAGCAGCAGAAGGCTCCCAGCCCCCCACCTGCTGCTCCCTGCAGCCCCAGAGCAACTCCTGAAAGTTCCAGTCATTACCTACAAAGAAAATTCTCTAATTAGAGAATCTGCCCACGTGTTCAGCACCAAGGCATCCACCCCTTAATTGGAAAAAGTCAAGGGCAGAAACTAATTAGCAGCATTAATCAAAAGCAGGGGTCTAATGATAATTAGCAACACCTCCCCGCTACAATAAATCCTTTTATGAGGAGGGGTTTCAGATTGTGAAATTAAAGGAGGGGTTTTACAATGAGTGTTTCCAATTGCCATCTTCTGGCAAAAGTCTGCAGTATTTCCTCAAAATAAGGAGTGGGATCAGGCTAAACAATGATTTTCCACTCAAGGCCTGTAAGTGTTTGTCCTGTTTTGTTAAAAAAAGGGAAAGGTGAAATTCCCAGGTCACTCTCTGGATCACTGCAGCCACTGAGAGCCAAGGCCAGGGCAGTCTGGGTCCTGCTGTGGCCAAAATGCTCCCTCCAGCCAAAAAACCCAGCAAGGGGAAGGGGAAACCAGCAGATCTTGCCATAGTGGGGAGTTTGCTGCTCTCCACAAGCATGGGGGGCTACAAGGTTTAAAAGGGTGGCAAAGACCTCAGATTTGGGGGGAATAAAGGGATAATGACCTGCAAGGAAAAAAAACCCAAAACGACCAACAAACCAAAAAAAACAAACAAAAAACCCCCAACAACAACAACAACAATAACAACAACCAAACAAACAAAAAACACAAAAAACAAAAAAATCTAAAAAAAAACCAAACAAGAAACCCCCAAAACAGACCAAAAAACACAAAATGCTCCCTCCAGCCAAAAAACCCAGCAAGGGGAAGGGGAAACCAGCAGATCTTGCCATAGTGGGGAGTTTGCTGCTCTCCACAAGCATGGGGGGCTACAAGGTTTAAAAGGGTGGCAAAGACCTCAGATTTGGGGGGAATAAAGGGATAATGACCTGCAAGGAAAAAAAACCCAAAACGACCAACAAACCAAAAAAAACAAACAAAAAACCCCCAACAACAACAACAACAATAACAACAACCAAACAAACAAAAAACACAAAAAACAAAAAAATCTAAACCCCAAACAAACAAAAAACCCCCAAAACAGACCAAAAAACCCACAAAAAACCAACAAAACCCAACAAACAACCAAAAATCCAAAGCCCAGAGCCACTGCAGAGAAACGAGGGCTGGAGGGGAGATCCCCCCATGGCAGCCCTGCCCCTCAGGGATGTTTTCCAGGGTGTGGACGAGGTCAGACACATCCAGAAATGAAACCCCCTGCTCAGGGTGTGTGTGCTCAGCAGGCTGAGGCTGCCCTGGCTTGGCCAGGGGGAGGAACACCAACCCCTCTCCTGCCATCCCTGGGGCTCTTTCCACACTCCCACCTGTTCTTTCCTGGAATTCCCATTGCAGAGCTGACAGAAATTCATCTCCATGGCAAGTTGGATGTTCCCATCCCACGGAGAGACGAGGGCAGCAGTTGTTTGCTGCCAGCTGAGCTGCAAATGGCGTCGTTAATGACATTATTAGAATATTGACAATGATTTCCTCAGGAAAAAAGGCTCTGCCGGGTCATTATTGGTTATTTACAGCCGGGAAAGCATCGAGGGAGGGCACAGCTCAAACAGGGGGGCTCAAGGTTCCTGTTCCACTCCCAGGAAGGAGATGGCCACAGAAATGAAACCCGTGCCCACACCCCTGCAGCTCCTGCCAGGCCACCACAGCACAAAGGAGAAGCCTGAAATGACAACAAGGAGGGGCAGATTGGAGATTAAAAACTATTTTTCCCTTTCAGAGTGGTGAGGCCTTGGGCTGAGCTGCCCAGGGAGGTTTGGAGTCACTGGAATTGTCCCAGAGGAGTCTGGATGTGGCCTTGGGGACAGGGTTTGGGGTGATGCTGGTGGCACTGGATGGTCCTGAAGGGCTCTTCCCACCTTGATTCTGGAATTCTGGGATCCTGACAGGGCCCTGCTCACAGCTCATTTCCCATCTGCTCAAACTCCTGTGGGGCACAAAGCCTGACCCAGCCCCAAAGTGAGCAGGAGCAGCCAGAGACCAGGAGAGGCAGAAATCCTCGTGCCACACCATGCCCAGGGCCCAGCAGCTTCTGGAGGCTGAAATTCCCACTGGAAATTAAAGTTCTCCACCCCTTCTGCACCTTTCTCTACGCTTTCCCTACCATTCCAAGCCCCTTTTCTCACACTCATTTAATAATCTCATTTATTTCACTGGGACTATTCCTGTGAGTAAGATCAAGGAAATGCTTGTGGGGCTACAGAAATGCTGAAATTCTGAAATTCCATCCCCTTTATTCAGCCTCCACGGGCTGGTTCATGTGCATTCCATGTCAGTCTGTCGAATCCTGAGGAAAACCTTCCCAGGACAGGAAATCCACCAGCTTCCCAGAAGCTCACAGAAGGGAAAACAGAAATAAAACCCCCTGATGTCCATCTTCACATGTCCCCCAAACCAGGGTGTTTGGGATTTTCCAGCATCCTCCTCCCAGTCATGATTAAATTATTTTTTGACTTTCTACAATTTTTTTTCAATTTTTCTACAAATTCATTTCCCACATTCTCTTATGGAACAAAATAAATCCACCAGCACCACTGTATCATTTTGCTGTCTCTGTGCTCCACCTTAGAGAGGAGGCAGAGCAGAGCAGGAGCAATAGAAATGATTATTTCATCTGCTGTGTGCACTGAGAACAATTGCCATCCGTATTGATTAACCCGTGGGGGTTTTAGCCCACAGGCTGTGAAATCCCAGCTGGGCAGGATCTGCTTCGGGTAACACTGGTTGCATCTTCCTGGGTTTATATTTGTCTGAGAGCCCTGGAAACCACTGGAGCCTTAACTTCTTTTTGCCAGGGTGGGGATTCAGTGTGTGAGAGGATATTTCTTATTAAAAAAATAAAATAAAATAATAAAAGATAAAACAATAAAAATTAAATTAAAATAAAATAAAATAAAATAAAATAAAAACATTATTATTATTATTACTACTGCTACTATTATTTTTATTATTTAATTACTGGCTTTCATTTTCACTGTGCTGATCCATGACATACTGGGAGGTTTCATAGACTGAGTTTATTAAATAATCTTCCAAAGGGTTGATGAAAACTTGCCAAGACAAAGAGCATAAATCGGTGTATACTGAACTTTAACACAAGTATTTCCCACCAGACTTCCCAATGGCTTTTCCAGTACTTTTTCCTAGAGAAACAGCATCACCTTCTGGCCAAAAAAAAGACACATTCCAGTTTTTTTAATTGGGAAAACTTAAGAGAAATACTTCTCAAATCTTGCATATTTTTTACTTCTATCTGAGTCAAGATTGCAAAACATGAACATGCAAAAAAAAATTAAAAATAGCACCGTACACAATTTAAAAATTAGTGGGAAGGAACAGTCTCTCCTAGGTTTGGATGCACTGAAGCTTAAGAAGAGCCCACACAGAAAAGATCAAAAAAATATAAATATGTAATTTTAATTCTCCATTTCTTTGCCACTTTTACCAACTACTGTGGCAATTGTTCTGCAAGCTGAACTCCCCAGTGACACCAGCACAGACAAAAGGCCCGTGTGGTGCAGGAACAGCAGAAAACAGGATGTTTCAGGCTGTGCAAGAAGACATTCTCAGCAGAAATCAGACGCCTGCTCCAAATTCAGACATCAGATACTAAACCACAGAAGGAAACGCCTGTGCCACTGCCCTGCAGAGAGAGCAAACCCTGCCTGTGAGAGCCAGGGCAGCAGCCCGGGCTGCGGGGAGGCTGAGCTGAGCTCCAGGGACCCTCCCAGCAAAACAACTCCACAATTCCTGCTTGTAAATCTGGATTCACTGCGCCAGGGAAATCGCAGTGAGCTCTCCAGGTTGTTTTCTGTAGCTTGGTTTTGCAGAAACAGAGGGCAGAGGCTGCAGAGGAGAGGAAATTGAGCATTTCAGCTGTTTGCTCAGACACCTCTGCAGGGCACTGCCAGGGCTGGAGCTGCTCTCACCCAGCTGGATGGGCAGGGAAGGGCCTGGGAGGGACTGAGCCCCCAGGGACAGCACAGCCCGGGCTGGCATACACCGGGGGGAACGAGCCCTGCAGGGGCTGCAGGAGAGCTGGACAGCACTGGGGACAAGGGCTGCAGGGACAGCACCCAGGGAATGGCTGCCAGTGCCAGGGGGCAGCAATGGATGGGATCCTGGCCATGAGGAATTGTTCCCTGGCAGGGTGGGCAGGGCTGGCACAGGGTGCCCAGAGCAGCTGGGGCTGCCCCTGGATCCCTGGCAGTGCCCAAGGCCAGGCTGGGCACTGGGGCTGGAGCAGCCTGGCACAGGGGAAGGTGTCCCTGCCATGGCAGGGTGGCACTGGGTGGGATCTCAGGTCCCTTCCAACCCTGATTCCATAAACGAGGCAGGCCAGCAGCCACCGCTCCCACAGCTCTCTCGCACGGCGAACACCGCAGAGCCGGGGGTGGAGCGGGCCCGGACGAGTGATAGAAACCGAAACAAAGGCAGAAACCGAACTAAAGGTAGAAACCGAAATAAAGGGCATCAATCGAACTAAAGGCAGCAAAGGCCTCTCGGAGACCCTGGGCACAGCGCCAGCCCTCAGACGCCGCCTTGGCGCCGCTGGGCGTGGCCTGCGGGGAAAGGGGCGGGGCTTGCTGAAAGGAGGCGTGACCTGAGCCTGGTCGGGGCGTGGTTTGACTGGATATGGGCGTGGTTTAGTGACAAACAGGCGTGGTCTCCGTGGAGGGGGCGTGGCCAATGCCGCGCCGCTGCCGCCGCCATTTTGCGCTCGGCTGAGGAGCGGGCGGCAGCGCTGGGCTCAATGGGGCTCGATGGCATCGATAGGAGCGGTCAGCAGCGATGAGGAGCCGCAGCGGAGCCCCTGGGCATTCCCCGCCGCGAGGTACGGCTGGGAGGTGGCGGTGTCCGCGCTGTCGTGTCCCCCCGGGCGCGGCCCTGCGGTGACAGTGCCGCGGTTCCCTGAGGGGAGCGGGGCCGCGCTCCCTGCCCCGCTGAGGGGAGCGGGCTGGGCCGCTGCCCGGGACTGCTGCGGGGCTCCGCGGCTCCCGGGAGCGCTCTGCTGGGCCCGGGTGCAGCTCCTTGAACCGCACATGGAGCCCCAAAACCCCGCCGGGCTCGCCCTTGGCAGCGTCCCGCTCGCTGCATTGACCCCGGCGATGGCCTGGGAGTGCCTGGGGATGGGGGAAGCGATGTGTCCCTCGGGCAGATCCCAAATCCCTGGGGCTGGCACAGCCCTGCCAGCCCAGGCAGTGCCAGCTGTGCCCCATGGCCACCTTGTGCCCAGCCCAGAGCACTCAGTGCCACCTGCAGGGGACACCTGCAGGGATGGGCACTGCCAAGCTCCCTGGGCAGCCCCTGCCAAGGCCTGAGCACCCTTTCCATGGGCAAATTCCTGCTGCTGGCCCAGCTGAGCCTGCCCTGGCCCAGCCTGAGGCTGTTTCCTCCCCAGCACTGTGGCAGCCCTTGGGAAAAGGGCTGTTGGTAGTGGCCTTGGGTTTTTGAGGTTAAGTGATTGCCATATCCTTAGAAGTGGTTTATCTAAAGTCTGAGGGTGGCAATAATGCTACAGGCACAGTGTGGCTCCCTGGCTCGGGTGGATTCAGGATTTTGTGGCGCTCCAGGGGTTTCAGGATGGTGCAGACTCTGCTCAGTGGCGCCAGTGGCAGGACAAGGAGCAATGGCCAGGAGCTAAAACACAACAATTCCAGCCCAGCCTGAGGAAGAACTTCCTTCCCTGCAGGGGCAGGGCCCTGGAGCAGCTGCCCAGGCAGGGGCTGGAGTCTCCCTGTCTGGGGACATCCCAAAGCCTGGGCACGTTCCTGTCACTGCTGCAGGTGGCCCTGCCTGGCCTGGCTGGGCTCACAGGTCCCTCAGAATGTTCCTCTGCAGACTTGCCTGCTGTCAGCCTCTCCCAGTATTCCCATAAGCTGATTTATTTAAGTAGATAGACCATCTGCTTGTTTCAGAAAAGTGGGGGAGAGCTTTTCTGAAGTATGAGCCACTGACTTTCAAAACCTCAAAGATGCTTTTTTTTTCTTTTCTGATTGGAAGCAAATATAACTCAATCCAGCCTGAACCTGAGAGCCACTTGAATTTTCAGGTACTATCTAAATGCAAAGTTAATAGAAATAATTATACAGTGGTTTCTGCTTTATTTGAAACGGTAGGAGCCCATTCCATGTGGAAAAAGGAAAGTGCTGTTGCCTTAAAAATGCCATGAAATGATAAAGATTGGTGTCTCCCAGTAACTCTTTCAGTACCATTGCCTTCCCTCAGACACTGGAGAGAGTAAAACAATTCTGTACAGAAACTTTGGGTTAATTAAAAGTGATTTACTGAGCTAATTTGCTGTGATCATTTAGTAAAATGTTTTTGTTTCTCATGTATTTGTAGGAACAGAAGCAAAATGTTCCTTTTGCAAGCAGAGAGGTTTGATTGTTAATCCCCACGAGAACCCCAATGGATGTGCCAATGCCTCTCTGTCAGCTTGGTAAGTACCTCAGCCTTTGGGGTAGAGAGCAGCACTGCAGGGGGCTCATTAATTCATTAATAATCCTGCTGAGTTAATGAAGTAAGAGACCATCATGGTGTTGTGGACATCTCCCCAGAGTAATTCCCAAATGAGGATCTCTTGTGTTACCCCTGCATGCTCCATTCTGTGCTTAAACCATGAGCAGGGGCTGGAGCAGGCTGGGAGAGCTGGGGGGGCTCCCCTGGAGAGGAGAAGCTCCAGGAGAGCTCAGAGCCCCTGGCAGGGCCTGAAGGGGCTCCAGGAGAGCTGCAGAGGGACTGGGGACAAGGCCTGCAGGGACAGCACCCAGGGAATGGCTGCCAGTGCCAGAGGGCAGCAATGGATGGGATCTTGGCAATGAGGAATTGTTCCCTGGCAGGGTGGGCAGGGCTGGCACAGGGTGCCCAGAGCAGCTGGGGCTGCCCCTGGATCCCTGGCAGTGCCCAAGGCCAGGCTGGGCACTGGGGCTGGAGCAGCCTGGCACAGGGGAAGGTGTCCCTGCCCTGGCAGGGTGGCACTGGGTGGGATTTGGGGTCCCTGCCAGGCCATTCCATTCCATGGTTCTGCCTCCCTGCCCATTCAGAAACTCTTAGTTAGATGTGAGGGTTTTTAATTTATTCTGAGTTTTTCCAGCACTCCTCAGTTTCTGGGTTAGCAGGTGAAACAAGCTCAGTTTGGCTGAGCTGTACTTGTTGTGAGAAGGGCTTTGTTAGGTTGGGATCCTTTAATTCTGTAAAAAGGGTCAGATCATCATCCCAGAACCCCAGGCTGGTTTGGGCTGGGAGGGAGCTGAAATCCCATCCCTCCTGCCAGGGCAGGGACACCTTCCCCTGTGCCAGGCTGCTCCAGCCCCTGTCCAGCCTGGCCTGGGGCACTGCCAGGGGCAGTGGAGACTCCAAATGGTCCAAGATGCTGAAGAATATTCCCCATGCAGTTCCCAGACCATGTGTATTTCCCCAGGCTGAGTCTTCCCAGTGACTTGTTCTCAGTTATTTGTCTTGGCTGTGTCTCCTTTTGAAGAGTGCAACACAAACAGTTTTGCAACTGTTCAACTTCCTTTGCTAAACTTGTTTGTTGAAACAAAGTTCAGAGGCAGTTTGAGCTCTGAACTGAAAGGAATTTGGTTTGGGTAGAGAAGGGGCATTGAAAAATCAAATAATGCTAACTGGAATGCAGCAGCAATTGAGCAGACACAATTTATTACAAATCTGAGCTTGTGTTCAGATAATAATAGTTAAAATGTTGCTTTATTTATCCCCACTGGATGTTTTTTTCAAATGGGTGATTTCCTGCCTCGTTAGAAATCCATTGTTCTACATTTAGCTGCAGTTAAATCCATTATTTGTGGATTTCCATAAAGATTGTTTAAATTTTCTAATTCAAGGCCCAGATTTCTCTTCTTTTCACAGTCATGCTGACTGTGGCACATCTTTTTAACACAGCAGGTCGAGACAAAAGAGAGTTTTAGGGAAGACAAGGAACTCTCCAGATTTTCCCATGGAATTCATGTCAAACAGAGAAGAAATGTGTTTGGAATTAAAGTAATGGCTGCTCTGGCCAACTGAGTGTGGGAGTCAGCATCTCCTGAGTCAGAGGCATGACCACAAAGTGCCTTAAAACAAGAACAGGAAGTTTCTCCTTGTTGCACTCAAAGCAGAAGGGAGGCTGAAGGGTCTTGAGAAAAAAAATAGAGTGAGAACACAAACTCCAAGTGTTTTGAAGCAGTGTTGTAAAAAGATGGGAGCAATGAGAAGCTGGGTGGGTCAAGGAAAAGAATCCTGGGTCAGTGAGAGCCAGGGTGGATCACAGCCTCCTGGGAGGTTTTACAGGAGGATGTAGGAACCTCTGGAATGGCAGGATTGCCCTAGGAAGCTGGGGCTGCCCCTGGATCCCTGGCAGTGCCCAAGGCCTGCTTGGAGCAGCCTGGGACAGTGGGAAATGTCCCTGCCATGGCAGGGGTGACACTGGGTGGGCTGTGAGGTCCCTCCCTACCCAAACCAGTCTGGGATCTATGAGGGTGAGTCAAGCAATAATGGAATATTTCCCCAGATCAGTTCTAAAATTCTTGGGATGGCTTGAAAAGGTGTTTGAAATAGTCAGAGTCCTCTGGGACATCATTTGATGGGAACATCTTGGGTGTTTCTGCTGACACTGAGTCTTGAACCTCACATGGAGGGAGCAGCATAGGGATCCAGAACCAGCTTCTCCTCAGAGCCCCAGGTTCATGGACACACACGGGAGGAGGGAAGTGTAGGAAAGTCTAGGAAGTTGTGGAAGAAATGAACAGTTCCACCAGGGCTTACTGGGTATGAACCCAATTGTTGCAAATGAATACTTGCAGTACAAGTCAGGTCCTGTGGCTCCAGCAGTGCATTAATACAGAGTTTCACTTTCCAGTGTGCCTCACCTTTCTGTCTACAGCTGTTTGCAGCCTGCCTGGTAAGAGTGTTACCATCTTTGAAATGCTTTTCCTAACACATTTCATAGCTTGCACATCCTCACCAATCATCATTTTGGAACTTCATGCTTTTTTGGAGAAAGAATTTAGAGAAATGTAGTCCATGTGCACAGTGCTTTGCATTGCTGTGTCTGTTGTGCTGAGCTCTCCCCTGTGGCTGCTTTTTGGGGCAAATCCTGAGCTGCTCTAAAGGGGTTTATTTATTACAATGGTTGCAAAACTCAGAGTTGTTTGTTGGGGGGGTGGTTTGTTATTTTTTCCTTTCTAGAAAGAATTTTGGAGGGGCTTCCTTACAACCTCCAGATGGACTCCCACAATTTCCAGCACATTTTGTCCTGGCAGGCAGAACATGACCCAGCTGTGCCAGCATCCTACAACGTTCTCTACACAGACCGCAGGCAAGTCACACAAAATAAGGCACAAATTCTGCTTTTACTGTTTATTGACCCAAAGAGGAGGGAGCTTGGCAGTGCCCATCCCTGCAGTGTCCCCTGCAGGTGGCACTGAGTGCTCTGGGCTGGGGACAAGGTGGCCATGGGGCACAGCTGGCACTGCCTGGGCTGGCAGGGCTGTGCCAGCCCCAGGGATTTTGGGATTCTGTGAAAATAGTAAGGCTGAGATTTTTCTCTGTTATCTTGGGGTTTTTTTTCTTAGTTTTTCTGATTTTCTGCCTGGGCTGGCAGGGCTGTGCCAGCCCCAGGGATTTGGGGATTCTGTGAAAATAGTAAGGCTGAGGTTTTCTCTGTTGTCTTGGGTTTTTCCTTAGTTTTTATGTTTTGGATTTTTTTTCCCCTGAGAAGTCTTTTCAATCCTGCAGTTCTCCTCCTTCTCCCCCTCTCTCAGCAAGGAATCCAAAATCTGTCACAAGTGACAAGCAGGAGCAGAGTGAAACCAGCTCAGATCCCACCAGTTCACCTGAGAAATTCTGAATGCTCAAACTGAAATTTCAACAGTTTGGCTGCAGTTTGGTCAGGAAGCACAACACAAACACATCAGCATTGGAAAGAGCTGTCTGGGGAGGTTTACAGGTGGCACTGAGTGCTCTGGGCTGGGGACAAGGTGGCCATGGGGCACAGCTGGCACTGCCTGGGCTGGCAGGGCTGTGCCAGCCCCAGGGATTTTGGGATTCTGTGAAAATAGTAAGGCTGAGATTTTTCTCTGTTATCTTGGGGTTTTTTTTCTTAGTTTTTCTGATTTTCTGGGTGGGTTTTTTTTGTTTGTTTGTTTGTTTTGGGGGTTTTTTTGGTGGGTTTGTTTTGTTTTGTTTTGTTTTCCCCTGAGAAATGCTGTCCTCACACTCCCATGCCTTCTCACATCAGAGAATTGAGACAGTTTTGCTCTTTTCTGCAGGAGCCAGAACTGGATGAGTGCTCAGCAGTGTTTGGGCATTGCCCAGCTCTCCTGTGAGCTGACAGAGGAGTTCAAGGACACATCCACTGAGTATTCTGCACTTGTTCAGAGAATTGGAGGAGCTCAGGTGCTCAATTCTTCTGTGCTGCGTTTTGTGCCACTCACTGAGAGTAAGTTCTCTCTCTGCTTTTCTTGTTTGTGTAGTTTTCATTAGCAGCTGATCCTGAATTATGTTCTGCTGTCTTTGCTGTAGGACTCCACAGTGACTGTGTTGGTGGCTATTTGTGTGTAGTGTTTCATCTATCTGTTGCAAAGCCCTAAGTACATACATAAGTTTCTAGAATGAGTAGTCCTGATTAGTAGCTCTGGTAAAGGAATGAGGCTCTGGTTTTGAAATAAATGCATTATAATTATAAAGGAAATACAGCTGTGCATTGACAAACAGCAAGTAAAAATCTCTTGACTGTATAAGGTACATAACTTAAAGAACAGCATTGTGTGTTCAGATAGTGAATGTTAAGTTAAAAAGTGCCAGGTCTGCACCAGGTGTAGGGAAGAGATTGATTGTTTCTCCCTCAGTCTGCCCTTTTCCCTGCTGAAGATATTTGTCTTTATTGCCAGAGGTGGCTTCACCCTTGGCTCTGTTAAAATAGAGTTTGGAGCTAACAGATATTGAGGAACAGCTGGAGAGCTGTGGAGGATGAGCTGATGATGTTTCCTCTGGGCTCAGGAGAGGCAGATGCTGTGTCCCCTTCCAGAGTCAGAAATGAGGGAATGCTGTAGGGAATGAGGAGAGTGGGACAAGGAAAACTGAAGGAGAACATCCTGAGGAGGAGCCCTGCAGTCCCTCAGCAGTTGGTTTGGCAAAAAGGACAGGAAAAGGGGCAGTGGCTTTCAGCTGAAGGAGGGCAGGCTTAAATGGATCTTGGGAGTGAGGAATTGTTCCCTGGCAGGGTGGGCAGGGCTGGCACAGGGTGCCCAGAGCAGCTGGGGCTGCCCCTGGATCCCTGGCAGTGCCCAAGGCCAGGCTGGGCACTGGGGCTGGAGCAGCCTGGCACAGGGGAAGGTGTCCCTGCCATGGCAGGGTGGCACTGGGTGGGCTCTGAGGTCCTTTCCAACCCAACCCTTCCAGGATTCTATTCTGTACTTTAACCTCAGCTTTAATCTCGTGTAGCTACAAAGATCCCATCTCTGAAGCTGGAGCAAAGCCTCTGTTCCCTTTCTGTTTCTTCCTTCCACTCCTTTTCATTTAAAGTCTGGCCATGTGGGGAATTATGATTTGGGTGTGGAAGTTAAATGTTGTAAGGCCTTGTGGATTTACAGCACTGACCTCTCTGGAGTGTGCTGAGCCAGCTCTGTGTGCATCACACAAGTGGAATTGGTGCTGCATAAAATGTGTATTTTTTCCATAATTTCTTCCTCTTTCTTGTTTTCCAACAGCATTTCTGGGACCACCAGAAGTGAATATCACTTCCTGTCCAAATTGCCTCAATGTCACCATAAAGCTGCCAGCCTCTCACTTCAGACACAAGGGGAAGCTGCTGTCTTTAATTGATATCTATGAAGAGATGGATTTTGATATCACCCTGAAATCACAGGACGGAGAGCACAAGGTCAGGAAATTTGGGAATAGTTGTGCTTTAGGGGAGGAACACAGAGGGTATAAAATGGCTCTGATGGTTAACAGGTTCCCAAAAACAAATATGTGGATGGAAGCAAAAGCAAACCTAGAAACAGATTTCTTAGAAGAAAAGAGAGACCATGGGCAGCAGAATCTGAGCTTGCTTTCAGTGCAGGGTGCAGGTCTGGAGGGGTGAGCAGGGGCTCTTTTCAGCCAATCACTGACTTCAAACCATTGTTTTTCATGGCAGAGGCCACGGCAGAGAACCACTGAAGAGGTGTTCAGTGTTGTCATTGAGGAATTGTATCCCAGCAGGAATTACTGTGTGTCTGTGGGGGTCACTGCATCCCTGAACAAGAATTCTGTCCCCTCCCCCTGGAAATGTGTCACTACAGACTCAGAGGTTCAGCAAGGTAATGGGGCTGTGGGGCAGGGGGGCTGGGCTGGCTGTGCAAAGTGTTCTTTTGCTGTAGGGACATGTAGAGTTCAGTCCTAAAAAGCAAGTGATCACAGAGTCATGGAATGTCCTGAGTGGGATTGACCCCCAGGGACCCCCCAGTGCCAGCCCTGCCCTGCCCAGACCCCCCAAGCCCAGCCTGGGCACCCCTGGCAGCGCTGGCCAAAGGCTCCTGGAGCTCTGGCAGCCTCGGGGCCGTGCCCATTCCCTGGGCAGCCTGGGCAGTGCCAGCACCTCTGGGGAAGAGCCTTTCCCTAAAATCCACCCTAAATCCCTCCAGGCCCAGCTCCAGCTGCTCCCTGGGTGCTGTCCCTCAGGGCCTCCCTGGCAGAGAGAAACATTCCAAGAGAGAACCATTGTGGGTATTTAGGAGTGAAATATAAAACCCCAGCACTTTGGGGCAGCAAATATTTTGGCAATCCCCTGAGCCATACAGATCTGCAGAAAGATGGAGTCACTTCTTTTGTAATTCCTGAAGCTGATTTGGGATTTGGTCTTGTTTTGAATTTGACTTTCACAGATCCCTTCTAACCAAAATTGTTGGTGATTCCTAATAGCTGTTGTGACTGTGAGATCTGAAATGTGGTGGTGGGACCCTTCCTCCATGTGTGTTTATTTGATTTTTTCTCTCCAGGGTATCACGAAGCTGCAGTGGCAGGTGCTGTCTGTGTCTCACTGATAATTGCTGCAGTCCTGAAGTGTGTGCATGCAGCAGGTTTTATCCTCCCCAAGTTTTCCCTTCCTCAGACCCTGGTATGTAACAGCTCTCAGATCTGCCCTTTCTGGCTGGCAGGGGCAAGTTTAACAGCTGCAACCTCCAATCCTGTGCTTCAGCTACAAGTTCTCTAGGAGCACAGAACGTTTGCATTTGCAGTTTACCTCAGGCAAACATGCTCTCTAGGCTGCTGAGTTTTGTCTGATCTTCAGAACAAATATTCAAAACCATTTCTTGCTATTTCTGTGACAAGTTACTAACGGAGAGGATCATCCCACCCTGCTCAGGGGGAACATCCCACCCAGTTCTGGTCCCCACAGGGCACAAAAGGTGTGGCCCAGAGCAGAGCCAGGGTGGGAACAGAGGGCTGGAGAAGCTGCCCTGTGAGGAGAGACTGGAGGAGGAGTTGTCCACTGTTTAATAATAATAAAATAATCTCTCTTGGACTTTCTCTGTGATCAAGCACAGAGGGAGCCAGTCCAGAGCCAGTTTTTTATTTCCATAGATTGCAATTTAGTGGCACAATTATTTGTGAATACAGTTATCCATTTAAATTCAACCACAAATAACAAGATTTCTTGTTTCCCTATTTTATCCTTTTTTTTTGGTTGTTTTATTTTTTACAGTCTCTGACTTCTTTTACATTTAATTCTTTAGGGTTTTTCAGCATAAATATTTTTTATTTTCTACAAACATAGCCAGAGCAGATGGGTATCACTTTTTTCTAAGACTTTTTCCTCATGTTTCTGTCCTTTGCTGTGTCGCTTTCACATCCCAACAATTGCTGACAGTTACTAAGGAGTGTCTGAGGTTTATTTATTTTTTATTGTCAACATGATGAATGCTTCAAATATTGAGTAATCCTGTGAAGTGCAGAGGGAGGAGAGGGCTTGGGATGTTAAAATGGTGAAAATTGCTTCAAAAGATCATTTCTAAAGGACGTGAAAATGGCTCAGCCTTAATAGAGGTGACTGCAGGAGTTGTGAGAGTGACAAGACCCGGCTCACCCTGGCAGGGTGGGCAGGGCTGGCACAGGGTGCCCAGAGCAGCTGGGGCTGCCCCTGGATCCCTGGCAGTGCCCAAGGCCAGGCTGGGCACTGGGGCTGGAGCAGCCTGGCACAGGGGAAGGTGTCCCTGCCCTGGCAGGGGATTGGAATGTGGATGTTTTTTTAAGATCCCTTCCGACTCAAACCTTTCAGGAGTTCTGTGATGTTCAGGAATGGAAAAGAAGGAACATCCTAGATACCCTGAACTCTGCAGAAAAAGCCCAAACTGTGGCACAGAAGGAGTCATATGTTTGACAGCCTCGTGGCTGGAGGTTATTTGGGGTTTTTTTCATGGTGTTGTGTGCAGATGTGCAAAGTGGCTGATTGATTTAATTCCTTTTACTTTTCCAGGCATACATCAGGAAGTTGGCCTACTCCCCTTGGGTGTCTGAGTCAGAAACAGTGGCCTCTGTGGAGATCATCCCCAGAGAGGTGAAAAGCAAGGCCAGGGGCTGCAGAGGCACTGCCAGTGATGACAGTGACAGCGACAGCAGTGACAGTGACAGCAGTGCCCTGTATGACCACAACTACACGTGGCGGGACAGGCTGGGCAGGGCCAGTGTCCCCCAGGGCTGTGACACCCCCAGCAGCCTGGGGCAGTACTCAGTGGGCAGCACCTGTGAGCCCAGCAGCAGCCAGGCTGGGGACACGCCAGCTGCTGAGCCACAGGAGCCCCAGGGACACCCTGAAGGGGACAGAGACACGAGGAGCACGTTCCTGAGCCCTCTGTCTGGGGACAGCTGTGAGCCCCAGGGGGACAGCGAGTGCTTCACCATCAGCCTGGACACGGTGCTGCTGGGAGCCCTGGAGCAGGACGGGCACGGCCCTGCAGCTGCTCCCCCAGCCCAGGAGGATGCGGGTGACTGGCACTGTGCTCATGCTGAGGGGGAAAAGCTGCTGGAGGACACGGGAAGCGGGCAGGGAGCGCCTTGCTCCAATGACTTCCATGAGTGGCAGAACTCCTCCTGTTGCTCTGAGGAGAGCGACTCTTTGGACTCGGACACAGAGCAAGTAACGGGGTACATGAGGAGATGAAGGGAGAACTGCTTTTACTTTATAACCTGGGAACTAGTGCTGTTCAACTCTTATTTCTGGACTGAACGCACAGATCTTGTCCTTTCGTTAACATCCTGTGAGTGTGGGCTCCTGCAGAAAGAGCTGGGCATCTCTGTCTGGAGAAGGATCCAGAGAGACCTTAGAGCCCCTTCTGTGCCTAAAGGGCCTCCAAAGGAGGGGCTTTGGACAAGGGATGGAGGGACAGGACAAGAGGAAATGGCATCAAACTGACAGAGGGCACTTTCAAATTAGAAATTTTTCCCTGTGAGGTTGGGAAGAGACAGTTTCCAAGGGATGGAGGGCCAGGAGCCAGGGAATGGCTCCCAGTGCCAGAGGGCAGGGCTGGCAAAGAGGAATTGTTCCCTGGCAGGGTGGGCAGGGCTGGGATGGAATTCCCAGAGCAGCTGGGGCTGCCCCTGGATCCCTGGCAGTGCCCAAGGCCAGGCTGGACACTGGGGCTGGAGCAGCCTGGCACAGAGGAAGGCTGGTCTCCCATCCAGGCCACTTTTACAGTTTTTTTATTCTTTATCTCTCTTACTGGATTTTTGTGAAACCTGTTCTGCTGGCTGGATGCTGTATTTGTACAGAGAACACTGATCAAGTGGAATAATGGGCGCAGAGACAGGAATACTCAGCTGACAAAAGAGCAGATCGAGGCATTAATGCACTTATTGAATTTATTTTTATATAATTTTGTACAATTACTGATTCATATTAAAAATTTTTTTATGACATTTAAAATCCCCGCCGTGAGTAGCCACAATGTGTGAGGGGGAACAGAGCCGACGTGTGAGGGGAAGGAGAGCCGGTGTTTGAGGGGGCAAAGAGAGCCGGCGTGTGAGGGGGAACAGAGCGGCGTGTGAGGGGTAAACAGAGCCGACGTGTGAGGGGAAAGAGAGCCGGTGTGTGAGGGGGCAAAGAGAGCCGGCGAGTGAGGGGCAAAGAGAGCCGGCTGTGAGGGGGAGCAGAGCCGGCTGTGAGGGGAAAGAGAGCCGGCGTGTGAGGGGGGAGCAGAGCCGGCTGTGAGGGGGAGCAGAGCCGGCGTGTGAGGGGCAAAGAGAGCCGGCGTGTGTGGGGCAAAGAGCCGGCTGTGAGGGGGAAAGAGAGCCGGTGTGTGAGGGGGAACAGAGCGGCGTGTGAGGGGGCAAAGAGAGCCGGCTGTGAGGGGAAGGAGAGCCGGTGTGTGAGAGGAAAGAGAGGCGGCTGTGAGGGGAAGGAGAGCCGGTGTGTGAGAGGAAAGAGAGGCGGCGTGTGCGGGGGAAAGAGAGCCGGCTGTGAGGGGGAGCAGAGCCGGCTGTGAGGGAGGAGCAGAACCGGCGTGTGAGGGGGCAAAGAGAGCCGGTGTGTGAGGGGAAGGAGAACGGGTGTGTGAGAGGAAAGAGAGCCGGCTGTGAGGGGGAACAAAGCCGGCGTGTCAGGGGGGGAAAGAGAGCAGGCATGTGAGGGGGGAACAGAACCGGCGTGTGAGGGGGAACCCTCAGGCCCAGGGCCATCGCCGTGCCCGCAGCCCGCTCCTCCCCGTGAGGAAGCGGAAGGTTCGGGGTGCCGGGATTCCCGGTGCCCGCTCCTCCCCGTGAGGGAGCGGAAGGTTCGGGGTGCCAGGGTTCCCGGTGCCCGCCCCGTGAGGAAGCGGAAGGTTCGGGGTGCCGGGGCGGCCCCGCTCCCGCTGCCATGGCGCGGCCGCCCCGCCGCGGCTGAGGGAGCCGCCATGGCCGCCGCGCTGCGGGCCGCGCTCTGCAGCGGGCTGCTGCTCCTCGGTGAGTCCACCGGGGCTGCCGGGGAGGGACCGAGCGAGCTCCCGGTGCCGCCGGGCCGCGGGCACGGCGAGCGGCGGTGCCCTCGGGGGGAGCGGCAGCGAGGGGCGCCTGAGGCGGCGGCGCCTCCGCGCTGCCCCGAGCCCGGCGCGGCTCCTCGGGGGCTGTGAGGAGCCGAGCGGCCCCGGGAGAGCCCTGTGGGGACAGAAGGGACAGCGGGGCCAGCCCGCCCGGCTCTGCGGGTGTTATTGGCCCGGGGCTCAGTCTGTGATGGGGAACGGGGCCGGTCCTGCCGGGAGTGGGACACTGCAGGTGCCGGCGAGGAAAGGCGGGCGTGGGGGTGAAACCGGGGCCGGAAAGCTCCGTGTCACTGTCTGTAGGGAACAGGGACAGGAGCAGAGGGAACGGCCTCAGGCTGGGCCAGGGCAGGCTCAGCTGGGCCAGCAGCAGGAATTTGCCCATGGAAAGGGTGCTCAGGCCTTGGCAGGGGCTGCCCAGGGAGCTTGGCAGTGCCCATCCCTGCAGGTGTCCCCTGCAGGTGGCACTGAGTGCTCTGGGCTGGGGACAGGGTGGCCATGGGGCACAGCTGGCACTGCCTGGGCTGGCAGGGCTGTGCACAAACCCGAAACCCCAGAAATATTTCCTCATCTCTTTGGATCCACAGTGCCCAGTGAAGCAATTTACCTGGAGGCTCCTCAGGTAGGCAGCACTGTGAGGAAAGGGAGCCTGGCAAGGAAATGTGATTTTTCCTGGGAATTTGCATGCCTGCCTCAGACCTCATCCTCAGAGCAGGGGCAGTGCTCTGAGAGAAATCAGAGGGACTTTGGACAAGGAGTGGAATGCCAGGATCAAGGGAATGGCTCCCAGTGGCAGAGGGCAGGGCTGGATGGGATCTTGGCAGTGAGGAATTGCTCCCTGGCAGGGTGGGCAGGGCTGGCACAGGGTGCCCAGAGCAGCTGGGGCTGCCCCTGGATCCCTGGCAGTGCCCAAGGCCAGGCTGGGCACTGGGGCTGGAGCAGCCTGGCACAGGGGAAGGTGTCCCTGCCATGGCAGGGTGGCACTGGGTGGGCTCTGAGGTCCCTCCCAGCCCAAACCCTGCTGTGTTTTGAACTTCTGTATTTGTAATGTGCACTGTGTTTGGTTTATTTGTTGGGTGCAAGGGTCACACTGTAGGACTAGAGTCTGAAACCAGTTTTGTTTAAGCCAGGTTCAGATTTTAAACTCTTGCCTGCCAGAGGGGGGTGACTGACACAGGAATTTCATTCATTTCTGTATCAGCTGGGGACACAGCTCAGGGGTGATTGTGGGCTGCTGGGGTGACACAGGGTGACCTTGGAGGTGTCTTGCAGCCCTGATGATTCTGTGAACCACAGACGTGGAAAATGTGTTATTTATCTTAGAGTCTCTCATCAGGTGTGCCTCCTGTGACATTTAAGCACTCTGTTGTGGTGGGGTTTGTTTGCATTGCTCATTTGTGGTGCAGTAATGAGCTGGAATCTTTGCTATTTTGGTCTCAATACCTACAGTTATGTAAGAATAATTAAATCATAACAGTAATAGGCTTTTCCTTGATGCTTCACCCAGGTTTAGGGTTTCTTTTATTCACTTCCAAGAAAGGAACACAACTGGGGTTTTGTCACTTCTGAATAATGCTGATTAATAATACTTAATTACATTTAATTATATGTAATAACTCTTGCCTTCTGAGGTGCTGAAGTTTATCAGTGCCCACGCCCTTGTTATTCCCACAGTGCTGCTTACAAAAATTGGGGTTTGACAGTCTTGGGGAGAGTTCATGGGCAGCACCAGCTCAGTCATGCACAAGACATGCTGGTGTCACAGGCACTTACTGGAAGTCACTGGTGCCAGTAATTTGTTTTGTTGCATAAGGAGGCAGGAGAGGCATCAGGATTTAATTTCATTTAATCGGGCTCTGGTTTGAATATTTTGAATACACACCTAAGGCAAGGCAGAGGCTGCGTTTAACTTTTGGGTGAGTGACAGGTGCTGGAGCAAACCCTGAAATGTTGGTTCTGATTCCTCCCACAGTTTCTGGAATGGTCCCAGCTCCCCAGAACGTGAGGATTACTTCAGTCAACCTTCACAGCACCTTGCAGTGGGATGCACCAAGCTTCCCCAGAGGGAACCTCACCTACACCGTGCAGTCCAAGAGGTGGGGCTGGGCTGGGCTGGCTTTCACTCCCCCACAGCTCTGTGTGCTTGGGACTGGTGTCCTCTGCAGAGCACAGCCTGTCCCTTTATTTCAGGGACTTGGCTGTCCCAGGAGCTGTCCCTTTATTTCAGCTTTCTGCTGAGCTGAGGGACAGGGCAGAGGCATTTCCTGGGCATTCACACCCAAGGCAGCTTTGTCCTGTTTGGTTTGGAACCACAAACACATTCTAACACTGGGTCTTATTGGCTCTGTGTGTGGTTTTCTCTTCTGTGATAGAAGAGACCTGGCTGTGCTGAGTGTTTGTCCTTCCCTGATCTCTCAGATGCTCCCATCCCGTCCCATCCCATCCCAGCCCTGCCAGGGCAGGGACACCTTCCCCTGTGCCAGGCTGCTCCAGCCCCAGTGCCCAGCCTGGCCTTGGGCACTGCCAGGGATCCAGGGGCAGCCCCAGCTGCTCTGGGCACCCTGTGCCAGCCCTGCCCACCCTGCCAGGGAACAATTCCTCATTGCCAAGATCCCATCCATTGCTGCCCTCTGGCACTGGAGCCATTCCCTGTGTCCTGGCACTCTCTGCCCATATAAAAATTCTCCCTCTTCTTTAGAAGCCCCTCCAGGCACTGGAAGGAGCTCTAAGCCTTGCCCAGAGCCTTCTCTTCATGCTTAGTTGAGAGAAGATTTTTCTGGGTTCTGTAGCCATGGTCCCTTGCTCAGTACATTTCTGGGCAGGCTTTTGATGCAGAGCAGAAAGAAGAAAATATATTTAATATCATCTATTAAATCATGTGTTGATCAAGGCCAGGCTGGGCACTGGGGCTGGAGCAGCCTGGCACAGGGGGAGGTGTCCCTGCCATGGCAGGGTGGCACTGGCTGGGATTTGGGTCCCTCTGTGGTTCTGTTCCATGAGCAGCTCCTGGTCACTCCCAGCCCTGCTTCCTCTGGCTTTTCCTCGTGTCAGATCCTGGACACAGCTCTGAGCAGAGTCCCCTGGGACAGCCGTGCCCTGCGTGGCCCTGGCTGTGTTTGCTGGTTCTCTGAACTCCTGCCTGCTGAGTGCACTCTGGGGACCCTGCCAGGAAATGGGCATTTTTTACAGAGTTAGAATCCCTAAGTTTATAATTTAATCCTTTCATTTATCATTAAGTTTATCATGGAATTATGAATGGGTGTAAAATCCCTAGTGCGAGTCTTACACAGGAAACATTTTTACACCCACCAGTGCAAACTGCTTGCATGAACAGCTCTGCTGCCTTAAATCCATGTATCCAGTTGGAATTACCCTCTGTTTCTGTTCCCTGCAGCATCTACTACCCCGGGGACACCTTTGAGACGCTGAGGACGGAGCTGAGGCTGCCCCAGTGTGACGTGTCCTCGCTGTCACCCTACGGCAGCTACGTGCTGCGGCTGCGCGCCGAGGCGGGGCGGCTGCGCTCCCCCTGGGTCACCCTCGCCTTCAAGCCCATGGATGACAGTGAGCCTTTCCCTCTTCTTCCCAAAATACTGCCTGCTCTGGGAGGGACGCTGGAGGATAGAGAGTGTTTTATCATTTAATGATGCTGTGCCGGTGCTTGGCTTCTTTTTTCTACCTCTGTCTAGGCTGGGATTGAAGGCACTCGAGGTGCTGTTTCAGGCTTAGATGTTTATTTTTTCTTATCTGTGTTAGACTCACAGCAGTGAGAATAATGTGCAGTATTTCACTAACAAGGTACAAAATGGCTCACTGTCTTTCTCTACAAGGTCTTTTAAGGCTAAACTACCCAGTTAAGAAGTGACACCTAAATTATTTCCACTTTTAACCCAATAACCAACCACCCATGCCCACAATGGGTTCTTTATCCAATTACACAAAACCACCCAAACCCATGGAGAAGAAGGTGAAGAAGAAGGAGGAGCCTCCACCCTAAAACCTCCATATTCCCGTATTCTAAACCCTCAAACTCTGAGTTCCCCACCCTGTGATATCACACACTTCTATCCAAACTGCACACCCACAATCCCAGCTCTGTCATTCCATTTGGGAAGCTTCTCCAGTGCCTCAAGTCAGTTCAGTGTTCTCCTTGGGTCAGAGCCTGGCAGCACAGAGAGTCTGGAATTCTCAGTTCCAGGGTTCCAACAACATTGAACTATAAAATCTTAGTTGTAGCACTGACAGAAAGCAGGGTAAATTCACTGTCATAGTATTGATCACCTCTTTGGAGGAGATTTTTAAACAAAGCATCATTTTCTCTTAAAATGAGGAACATTTCTATTTTCCAGACAGGGAGAAGTTGTCTTCAAGGAGCCAGACTTCCTGTATATAAATTCAGTTACTTCCCTATTCATTGCTTTGCCAGACAAAAAATTTAATTTCTGTTTTTTCTTACTTAAACAAAACAAAACAAAACAAAAAAACCAAAAAAAAACCCAAAAAAGGCAAAAAACCCACTCTCACATAGAAAGGAAAAAACCACTTTTCTAGAGGGTGTGCTCAGGACAGACAGATGTTGTGGCAGTTTGGCCCAGAAGGGGAAGTGAGTGACACCCATGGAAATGGTCCTTCCTCTCCTGGAGTCACCACAGCTGGCCAAAGGGAACTGAGTTCCTTTAGAGGGTGTGGGAATGGGGCTTGCTTTGGTACCTGGTGTTTAGCTGCAAAAATAAAATCCCTTTGCAGAGCAGTTTTGTGAGGAAAGCATTAATTTATGACTGACCCAGGGAAAGAAGTTACTTCTTTCTAATGCATGATTTACAAGGTGACTTATGGGCTGTGGGGGAATATCCAACTGGCCTTGCCTTGCCTTGCCTTCCCTCTCCCCTCTCCCCTCTCCCCTCTCCCCCCAGCCTCCATCGGTGCCCCCGAGGTGCGGCTGCGCTCGGACGCGGGGGCGCTGCACGTGGATGTGTCGGGGCCCTTTGCAGAGCACGAGCAGGACCGCTGGCCCCTGCGGCTCTACTACGGCTCCTGGAGGTACAGGATCCTCTACTGGAAGAGGGGCAGCACAGACACAGACCCGGCCTCTGCTTCCGGGGTATGCTGCTTCCCTGCCCTTCATCTGTGCTTTTCCTGGAAATGCCATCCTGGGGATGTCCTGGGAGCTCCTGCAGGGTCTGGCACGGGTTACAGAGCTCTGGAGCCAGGCTGGCAGAGCATGGCAGGGTGGCTCTGGGTGGCATTTAAGGTCCCTTCCCAACCCAGCTCAGTCTGGGATTCTGTGATTCTAAGAGTAAAAATAGATCCCTACTAATTACAGTTAATCAAGTCTGTTCACTACAGCTGGGACTCAGTAAATGCAGGAGCTCTGTGGTTACACAGCAGCATGGACAGAACTTTATCTTTCCATAATTATCAATAACTCTGTTTTTTCCCTCGCAGTGGGCCTTTGGGCTTTTTACCCCCTAAAATACTAAAAATGCACTGTGGCCACGTGCAGCCCTGCAGTTTGTATCCACTGCAGTTCCTTTTCTCCCTGTCATGCACAGCCTCTTCCACAGGCAGTTGTGCTCCTCCATGCACAGTGCATGGAGAAAGATCATTATTAATGTATTAATTAGGGCATTTTGGCCTCTGTTTCAGGCAAACAGGAAGCCTGTGACCAGCAGGCCCCAGTCCCAGTTAATGAGTGCTTTGTCCATCAGTGCAGTTTTATGTAATGCAGTCCCCCAGGTGTAATTCTGATTTGTGTCTGTTACCTGCTCAGTGCTTTGCCATTCAGTTCCAGAAGTCAGGGGCCACCATTTCCCACCCAGCAGCTTTGCACTCCCGGGCTCCTGAGGGCTGCAGGTGTCCCTGCACCTGGGGTGCTCCCAGTGCACTCACCAGAGGAACAAACTGCACTTGGAGTCTTCCCAGTGCAAGTCTGGGACAGTCCCTGGGCATCCCAGAGGCAGAGCTTGGGGAATTTCACAGGTTCTGTGTGAGGTGGGTGCTTCTCCAGCATTGAAACCTGCCTGGGGAGGCTCCTGTTGCTCCTGAGGGATGCTCTGCAGTTACAGGGACATAACTGATCCTGAGCAGCAGATTCATCTGCTCAGCCACCTCACAGCTCCCAGAAATATTTTATTTATTTCCTTTTTTTTGGTTTTGCCTAGATGACAGACCACAGAATCACAGAGTTGGGCAGGCTGGAGGAGCCCTCAGTGGTCATCAGTTCCTGCATTAGCCCAGCAGCCTGTGTTCACCACTGGCCCCAAGTGCCACATCTGCACATTTTTTAACACTTCCAGGGGTGGGGGCTGCACCATTTCTCTGGGCAGCCTATTCCAGGGCTCGACAAGTGAAGGAATTTTTCATAATGTCCCTAATCTAAAACTCCCCTGCAGTTTAAAAAATGTTTAAAAATGTTTCCTAATCTCAAACTGCCCTGGCACAAGCTGAGGCCTTTTCCTCCTGCGCTGTTCCTCCATCCCACTTGCTCCCTCTGAACTTAGATGGTGTTTGTGAGTAGCTGTGCTCCTAGCTGATCTCATTTGGTTGGGTGACAGTTTCTGCCTGCCACCAGATCTCACTTATCATCCCTCATTAGCCTAAAACTTCGTTCCTGCTGCTGGAAGCAGCCCAAAGTTCAGTGGTGTACGGTGAGTAATTGTAATTCAGTAGGGTTGTAATTGTAATTGTAACTGTAATTGTAATTGTAACTGTAGTTGTAACTGTAATTGTAATTGTAACTGTAGTTGTAACTGCAAATGCTTGGTTGCTCCCCAGCTGATTCCACAGCCAGGCTCTGATCCCCCTCTCCCCTTTGCTGTTTGTGGTAAACGGTGGAAGAAATGCAGCACTCAATATGAGTGATCAGCAAATCTCAGAACTTTATTGACAGGCACATACATTTATATTGGTGTTAATATTATTGGTTAGTCATTGGTTAGTTACTTATCACCTAACTACGCCTACCTTAGCATTCTTGTGGCTACTGTGTTGCAGCTGTCCACATCTTTTCCTCATATTTCTAACTCACAATCCTCTCCCCCATCCTGCTGTTGCACCAAGGGCACAGTGCCCGTGCCTGATTCAGACACTGGCTGCTGCCTCCTATACCCATCTCCTTCCTCCTTAACCGACAGTGTTATGTCAGTGTGAGCTTTGTGGGGCAGGCAGCTGCTCTCACAGCCCTCCCCGGTGTTTGTGCCTGCAGGTGGCCGAGGTGCACAGCAGGCACGGCTCGGAGGTGCTGGCCCCCCTGCAGCCATGGACGGTTTACTGCGTGCGCGTGCAGGCGCTGGTGCCCGAGTGGAACAAGACAGGCCAGCTGAGCAGGGAGCTCTGCGAGCAGACAACCCACAATGGTAACCTGGCACTCGTGCAGTCACACTGGGGTGGCTGGAGGGACCCCAGATCCCACCCAGTGCCACCCTGCCCTGGCAGGGACACCTTCCCCTGTGCCAGGCTGCTCCAGCCCAGTGTCCAACCTTGGGCACTGCCAGGGATCCAGGGGCAGCCCAGAGAAAGTGAGAATTGAAAATAATTACTCAGAAATTAATAGTGACAGTTTTAATTGTTTTTTTTTTCTTGTTTCTGGCAGGTGTAACCCCTGTGTGGATAATTGTGACTGTTCTGGTGGGGTCCATGCTGGTCGTGGGCACAGCTGTCACTGGTTGTTTCTTCTCCAGTTTTTATCTGTACAGACTCACCAAACATGTTTTCTTCCCTTCCTACGTTTTCCCACAACACTTGAAAGAGGTTTGTCTCCTGCCTAACACATGAAAATCAGCTTTTCCAACACAGCCAGTTGTTTTTTCACTTGTTCTTTTCTCTCAGTGCCAAAACATTTAGAGCTTCCTTTATTTTGCCTCCTTTCACTGGCGCCTGATGGTCAGTGATCTGTAATTTGTAATCACCAGCTTTTTATGGCTCAGAAACAGGATGGGTTTGTTGATTTTGAAGTGAGAGAGTACCAGGTGTCAACTTCAGTTCCCCATTTAGCCAGTGAGCAACAGAAATCTCTGTCTCTCCTGCCTCCTTTCAGACTTAAACCAGCTCCTTTTTTCTCCTGCAGCAAAGTCCTGCCACGAGTGTAATCACGAGTTGTAACTTCAGGGAAGTGTCTGAGGAAGGAACTGGGCTGGATCAGCTGAACCAGAGCACCTGGGCTGTGGAAGGGGTCCCTGGCCATGGCAGGATGGGAAGAGCTTTGGGATTCCATCCAACCCAAACCATTCTGGGAATCTGTGATTCTGTGGAGTCTGAAAATTCCAGCTAAAAGGAGAGCAGTGACAGCAGCCAATGCTGATGGGGACCCACTGCTCCTGTCACACAGCCAGAGGACACAGAGGCTGCAGCAGGGTCCCTTCCCACAAACCAGCATGTACAAACCACTCCTGTACCAGCCTGTGCTCCCTGAGTCCTGCAGTTCCTCTGGGGCTCTCACTTCACTGTCAGCTCAGCACCCCCAGGTTTGCAGCTGACTTGGGCTCCTGCTTTAGGCTGAACGTGTGCTCAGCACCAGGAGTGTCCTGGAATCACAGAATCCCAGCTGGGTTGGGTTGGAGGGACCCCAAATCCCACCCAGTGCCACCCTGCCATGGCAGGGACACCTTCCCCTGTGCCAGGCTGCTCCAGCCCCAGTGCCCAGCCTGGCCTTGGGCACTGCCAGGGATCCAGGGGCAGCCCCAGCTGCTCTGGGCACCCTGTGCCAGCCCTGCCCACCCTGCCAGGGAACAATTCCTCATTGCCAAGATCCCATCCATTGCTGCCCTCTGGCACTGGCAGCCATCCCTGGGTGCTGTCCCTGCAGCCCTTGGTTTGCAGATGCTGGAGCTCAGCAGCACCAGATCCACTCAGGACCTGCTCGAGGTTCCTTTGCTCCAGGTGCCTCTAAAGACAGGGAGAGCTTTGGGCTGGTGCTGTCCAGGAACCAAAGGGCAGCTGTGCCTCCCCAAAATGTGCTTTGGCCAAGGCAGAGCTTTCACTGGGGGATGTTTCACTTGGAGGTTTGGGCCACAACATTCCCAATCCCAGTGTGGTGGGAAAGGGTCTGACAGTGGAGATATTTGTGCTGGTTTTTGTATCTCTCTGAAGATATTTGTGCTGATTTTTGTATCTCTCTGAAGATATTTGTGCTGATTTTTGCTGATTTGTCCTGACAGCAGCTGGTTTCTCATTCCAAACTCAGAATTGTTTCATCTGAGGGCACTGGGGTGAGCAGAGGGGTGCCAGAGGGCAGGGTTCTTGACAAATCTCTCTTCCCCTACGTTCCAGCTACCATTTGGTGTTTGTTCCCAATCAAAACTTTGATTTTTTTAAATTTTTCTGTCCCAAAGAAGACTCTGAGCCCTGGGGTTATTCTTGAGAGGCACTTCCATGTTGCTCCCAAGCCTGGAACAGGATTTTAGGGAGGGTGTGACACTGTTGGCCCTGTGGGACTTGTAAGGCCTGGGAAAGCCACTTGATGGGTGCAGAACAACCCCAGTGCTGTCAATAATCCCAGTGTTTCTGGGCAGACAGGATGGGACAGCTGCAGAGCCCTAATCCTCTCTCCTCTTTGTTTCCCAGTTCCTGAGCAAGCCCCCCAGTGCTCCGCAGCCCTTCCCTCCTCGAGAAGAGCTCCTGGTTTGTGACAAGCTGACAGTGATTTCAGAGCCATCCCACCCCCTCCCTGAAGGGACAGGGGCTGAGGGGACACCAGGGCTCCCTCAGGACCCTGCACAAGGACACTCCACCTCAGGAGCAGCCTCAGGAGAAGCCTGAACATCCTCCTCGTTCTTCCTGGGAAAAGGAGAAGCAAATGGACTTTGGGTTTATCTCACTGCTGCTCTCCAGCAGGAAAAACCCACAGCCAAACACGGGGTCACAGACTTTTGACAGAAGCATTTTATTTTTATAAGTACAAGAAACTTGGCTCTAAATGAGGAATTAAAAGATCCATAACTTTTGCCACTGTTGGTTGTGGCTCCCTGAGGAGTTGTAGCAATTCTGGCACTGATTATGACACTAAAAAGGAAATGTCATATTTGTATATAATACTAATTAATTTAATTTTGATGAACTATTTATTGCAAAAAGTAATCAAAACGTTTAGAAAAGAAAATAGTATTTTGTAAGGAATGACCTGATCTGGTTTATTTTTTTCTAATGAGAAATTTTGTATTTTTAAGGATATCCCAGTGGCATCATCTTTCTATGGAATTTATTCTTCCCTGATGCAAAGTTGTGAAGTTTTAGGGTGGGATGAACTGATGTCTGTGGGAAACTTGGCAGCTGAAGTGGGAGTTAAATCAGGTTCATTTTAATTATCTGCTGATGTGTGTTCTTAATTTTCCCAACGCAGGGAGCTGTGACTCCCTGCTCCAAAGGCAGCCTCGCCTGCACAGGGGGCAAGGGGCAGGGACTGGGTTTGTGTCACTGCATCACAGTGAGAAATTAAATTAAATTCTGCCACCAAAAGTGAAGTTGTGTCTCAGCTTGATGTGGGAATTTGGTTTTGGGGGGTGATGTTGGTTACTCCATGGGTAAATATCTCCTTTGTGGGAGTGCTTGCAGGAGTAAATCAGGAATTGACTCCATCCATTTGCATCTCCCAGCTCCCCTCAGAGGAGGCTCGGGGGGACCCTCCCAGTGTCCCCAAGTCCCTGGCAGGAGGGGACAGCCAGGGGGACAGCAGCTCTGCTCCAGGGAACAGGGACAGGAGCAGAGGGAACGGCCTCAGGCTGGGCCAGGGCAGGCTCAGCTGGGCCAGCAGCAGGAATTTGCCCATGGAAAGGGTGCTCAGGCCTTGGCAGGGCTGCCCAGGGAGCTTGGCAGTGCCCATCCCTGCAGGTGTCCCCTGCAGGTGGCACTGAGTGCCCTGGGCTGGGGACAAGGTGCCCATGGGGCACAGCTGGCACTGCCTGGGCTGGCAGGGCTGTGCCAGCCCCGGGGATTTGGGATTTTGGGATTCTATGGAATCTGTACCTGCTTTTTCTGCACTTTTTAATTTTGGTCACACTCTGCTTTCAGGGGGAATATGGAATTCATTGAATTTATTTTTTTTTTCAAGGTATTTTGTTTCATTGGTGCTTTTCTGCCCCTCTCCCCAAGGCTGCTCTGGGAATGCTGATCCTGTGCCTGGATCACCACTCCAGGGCACCAGTCCAGCTCCCTGTGTGTTCCCTGTCCATCCTCCCACAGCTTCTTTCTATATTTTCTTTTCCCTGCTTTTCTCCCCTTTTATTTTGGCTTTCAGAGTGGCAAATGCCCAGTGCACACGGATCTGAGGAGGGGCTGGGGATCCCTGCTCTCCCTCCGTGCTGCTGAGCTGCTTTGCCCAGGACAGTTCCTGGCAGTGCTGGAATGCAGCTCCAGGCCCTGCTGGGGCTGATAAGGCAGAGATAAGGCTGTGCCACTCCAGCTGGGGCAGGGCAGGGCAGAGCAGAAAGGGCAGCTCGGGCTGCTCAGGGGTGTGGGGAGTTCAGATGGGAGCAGGATTTCTCCAAGGAGAGCATGGCACAGGTGCCCAGAGCAGTGGGGCTGCCCTGGATCCCTGGCAGTGCCCAAGGCCAGGCTGGGCACTGGGGCTGGAGCAGCCTGGCACAGGGAAGGTGTCCCTGCCCCACAGCCTTGGACACTTCCAGGCTGCTAAAATCAACCCAGGTGTGTTTTTTCACAAACACTGCCGTGCACCTTGGCTTGCTGCAGAAATCTTCCTGCAAAGCTTCTGTAGGTGAGGGCTCTTCCTGTGCAGAGGCACAGCATGAGCCAGGCCTGGGGACAAGGGCAGCCTCTGCCTGCCCCACAGGGGCTGTGCGGCCCCACAGGGGAGAAATCATTTAGAGGAGCAGCAGTAGTTTAGAGGGGAACAGCAATTCTCTGGGGAGTTCATCTCGAGCTGAGCTTGTGGACATTGCAATGACCACAAATCAATAAATGGGGTGAACTTTGACCACGTGCTGATGTAAACTGGAAGTGCAGAGGGTTGCTGGAGGCTGCTCACTGCTACGGCGTGTTCTGGCAAAGGCAGAGACAAAACACAGCCCTTGAAGGCCTGGGAGTGCTTGGGGAAAGATTTCAGACCTGAAATGCAAAGAAAAGAATGATGAAGGAGTAGGGAAGTGGGGAAACGGAAGGAGGAGAGTCTGGGTTTGTGGTCAGCAAAGCAGATTCCAGGAGAGGGCAATGAGGGGAGGCAGGAAGGAGCAGTTCAGAGAACACCAGTCAGGGAGTGCAGGGAGAAAGAGGAACCAGAGCCCAGGGGCACCAGGGGGTCAGGGGCACAGCCACCCCCCAGCTCCACATTTTCATCTCTCCCTGTTGGGGACTTTGGGGTCTTCCCTGCCCAGCAGGTCCCCCCAATCCTGAAGGAATCCAGCTGAACAGCAGAGCCAGAGAGGCTTTCAGAAAAATCCATACCAAGCTCTAGAGAAGCTTTTACATTGATCCTTAACCAGAAACACTTGTGCTTGTAACTTCATGCCTTTTTCTTCTGAGCCACACTGGGAAAGATCCATTATCACTGGCAAAATGTCATTTTCTAGGATTCCTCATCCTAGAAAATTATTATTGAATAAGTGGGGTGCAGAGCAAGGCTCTTCCCTTGAGACTGTGCTGCTGTGAAAAGCAGGACTGCAAAAAGCAGCTTTACAGGAAGAATAACCCACAGGCCTTGGCCACCTGTGAGCAATGCACTGGAAATATTCCTTCCTTGGGACTGGAGTTCCAAGTCCATTGTGCATTCCCTCGGGCCATTACTGCAGACACTGAGGGCACGGAGTGGTGGTGGCATCCCAGAGACAGAAGAGAAGCCCCTGGGGGAGGCTGAGAGAGGAAATCCTCACTCCAGCATCACCAGCCCCAGGGCTGAGAGAGCACCAAAGAACCTGGTGAACAACTGCTTCCATTTCCCATCAGCTCTGCCTGCAGTCACTCAACTCTCCTCTCTGATTTCCACCCCTCCTCTCTGCCCCTCTGGGTCTGTGCCAGTTTTTGAGGCCATGGTACAGTTCCTCAGAGAGGTTCTCCCACCCTGACAAGAGGATGTGCACTGGGTTGGGTTTTCAGCCCTGCTGGCCCAGGGTGAACCCGGGCTCTGGAGCTCCCCTGAGCAGAGCAGAGCTCACTGATCTCTGTGGAATTCACTGCTGGAGAGGAGAAGCTCCAGGAGAGCTCAGAGCCCCTGGCAGGGCCTGAAGGGGCTCCAGGAGAGCTGCAGAGGGACTGGGGACAAGGCCTGCAGGGACAGCACCCAGGGAATGGCTGCCAGTGCCAGAGGGCAGCAATGGATGGGATCTTGGCAATGAGGAATTGTTCCTGGCAGGGTGGGCAGGGCTGGCACAGGGTGCCCAGAGCAGCTGGGGCTGCCCCCGGATCCCTGGCAGTGCCCAAGGCCAGGCTGGGCACTGGGGCTGGAGCAGCCTGGCACAGGGGAAGGTGTCCCTGCCATGGCAGGGTGGCACTGGGTGGGATTTGGGGTCCCTCCAGCCCAACCCACTCTGGGGTTCTAAATGTTCTCCATGAAGATGGAACTTGCAGATGTGCTCAGAATTACACATTTGGAAAGCACACAGGCTGTAAAAAGAGGTTTATGGCAGGCTTTCCTCATTCTCTCAGCCTGGTCGATGCCACCCAGCACTTTTCTGTCCCTCCAAACCTAATCCCAGCAGCACCAAGGCTGGAAGAGCCCTTTGGGATCATCCAGTCACACCTCAGCACCAGCAGCACCCCAAACCCTGTCCCCAAGGCCACATCCAGACACCTCTGGGACATTTCCAGGGGAGTGACTCCAAACCTCCCTGGGGAAATTGTTCCAATGCCTGACCCAAAAGATGATCCCTCCTGCTGCTCAGCACTTGTGCAGGGCTGTGAGCAGGGCTGGGAGCCAGGAGGAGACAAGGAGCAGACAGGAGATGTTTTGTGATCTGGGGAAAGAGGTGTGATGGCAGAGTGTTAAAAATGGGCAAGGCTTCTGAGGGAGGGGATGAATCACCCCTGCTCTGTGTCCCTGAGGGAGCTGAGAGCAGTTCGGGGCTGCAGTAAAACACAGACAAGGAAAGTTTTCTAAGGGTGAAACAAACAAAAACCCCGCAGGTGATGTTGCCTGGGAAGGGGGATATGACACAAATCCGTTGGGAAGGGTGGACAGATGTGACCCCTCCTTGGGCTCCCGGGGTCCTTCCTTCCAGGACCACTGTTCCTACACTTCTCACACAGTGAAGTGCTGCGTGTGCCCCTTTCATCCTGCTCCAGGGCTGACACGAGCAGAACCCACCAAATTATGTCTGCATTGTCTGCCAGCCAACAGAAACAAACCCAGCAGAGCCCAGGCTGCAGCAGGCCTGGTTTCCCCTGTCACAGGAGCGTTTGGGACAGACATCAATGGCCACAGGGACACCCAGTGTCCCCCCCGGCTGCCTGTGCTCCGCAGATAGCTCTGCTCTGCTCAGGGGCTGGGCAGCGCCAGCTTCTGCTCCTTTCCTCTGTGACACCGCTCAGGAAGTTGCATTCAAACTCAGCACAAGACAAACTGTAAATATTTATGGGATTATAAAGTGTTTCCAGCAGTGCCAGACTGGTTCGGCAGTTTCGGTTCAAAACGGTGGCCCCGAGGTGTGGCTACATAAAGAAATGGCATAATCACGTTTGCTGATCAGCTGCTGGGGACAGGAGGTGACACCCCCGAGGCTGAGCGTGCCTCGGGCCCAGCAGTGCCCCAGCAATGCCCCTCACGCTGTGGGGCAGGAGGTGACACCCCAGCAATGCCCCTCACAGCTCCTGGGGCAGGAGGTGACACCCCAGCAATGCCCTTCACAGCTCCTGGGGCAGGAGGTGACACCACCCTGGCTGTCCCTGCTGTCCCTGTGTCTGTCCCTGTCTGTCCCTGTGTCTGTCCCTGTGCAGAGGTCAGAGCAGGCCCAGGCTCTGCCCCAGGCCCAGCAATGGCCCCAGAGCCACGGGCAGGGCCTGAGCCCAGCAATTCCCCTCCCAGGAGGCACAACTTCTGCCCTGGGCAGGGGCCGAGCTGGAGCAGAGCCCAGGCAGGGGCTGCAGTCTCCTCCCTGGGACATTGCAGAGCCTCCTGGAGCCAGCCCTGTGCCCTGGCTCTGGGATGGCCCTGCTGGAGCAGGGAGGTGGCACCAGGGACCCTCTGTGCTCCCTCCCAAGCTCACCCATCCTGGGATTCCGGGATCTGAGATCAGCAGACATGCAGCACCCCATGGCACATCAGGCATTTTTATGGAACATTTAAGGAACATTTAAATCCAAAAGTCAGTCTGTGTTCCCCCTAGAAAGCAAAGCCTGTCCTGATTGTAACAGCCAGGATGCTGAGGGCACAGACCTTTGCCCCCCAGAGTTTCAAATCCTCTCTGAGAACACTGCTCTGCCCGCTGAGGGGTCTGTGTTTGTTTGGGGGGGTGGGAAGTGAAAGGTGAACACCTGACTGTGCCTCCCCAAGCCTGCAGCTGGCCCAGGGTA